GTCTGGGTCCTCCGGAGGACCCGGCCTGTCGTTTTGGACACAGCCAATGATTAAAGTCAGAACAAGATTTGCTAACAACAATAATCATTCTTAGATATCACTTGTGTTTATCTTTGTGTTTTCCATTGACCTTGTATCAAATCTTACCATAACACTAACAAAAAACAACAAGATACAAGATGTAAACAATGGTTAATCATAAAATCAGAGCAACATCACCTTGTCGTGCCTTGGTTCAGTGATGTCATGATGTTGTGTTTGAGTTAGCGGGGGAGGCCTCTGGGAGCTGCAGGGCACCTGGCTCAGCTTTAGGCTCATCTTGGGGTTGTAGGTGAATGGATACAGGGACTCTGGCACACGTCTCTGCTCCTCAGCACACTGCACAAAACACAAAGATTCACCGAATTCAGTAATTATAAAGAAACACGTCGAGCAATAATCTGTCCAAAATGACCATATTAAAGAAGTTAATCATGACTATGTTGTTACCACAGAATCCATCTGAAAAATCTGGTTTGACCAACTTATTTTCTTGTATTATATGTGTTAAAAACGATGATTTGATGTAATGAAAATGGTCCATGCTTGAGCTAAAGCTTTCCTCAGAAACGTACAGCATGCAGCCAGTACTGCGAGACTACGTGCAGCCCGTTCTCCTTCACTCCTTTGTACTCGCGAGAGTTGTCCCCCACTCGGCCCTGGTAGATGTAGTGGGTCACTCCATCATCACAAGCCCACCTAAAACAGAGCACATACTTTCAGCAGGTTTCAGTGTACCTTTAACAAAATAACTGCCTCTATTTATTATCTATTTCATTTAAGAATACTTGTCTGTTTAGTACGACGGCGTATTAGGGCCACTTTGCAGATGGGAAAAAAAGAAAAAAAAAGGAGCAAGTCTCTGCCAAAAAATTAATAAATAAATAAAATAAAACACAGGGAATTCTCTTATATTGAAAAGTCGCAAATTCGCGAGAAATAAACTCAGGAATTTCCATAATTAAAGGCAGAAATTTGTGACATTTAAACTAAATATTTTCTGACCTGATAAAGTCAGAAATTTCCAAGGAAAACTTTGTAAATTTATGAGAAAAAAAAAACGCTGAAGAGTTTAGGAATTGGTAAAGGGCGATTCCACCTCTTTTCACTAGCTGGAGCATTTTTAATCTGCTCTAAAACACAGAGACTTCAAACAAGGACTATTATTCTACACTAATTGCAGAATATTTAAAACCAAGTGTGTGATTTGTGAAACATATATTTTATTTGTGAAGAAAAGTATATGGTGATTTCATCACTTTTTATACATTTTATGAACAAGYAGTTTTTTAAATAAGGGGCAGGAATTATAAGATTTTATTTATTTATTTTTTTTTACTTTTTCTGCACCCCTTTCATTCAGTAATAGATTTATTTTTTTAATGGATTTTTTGTTGTTTTTATGAATGAAATAAATGAAAAAATTAAATAAAATCTAATCTAATTGTTTCTTTTGAAAAACAAGAAGAAAAGAAAAATGTGCACAATTTTCACCAACATTTTAAGAAACAAAATAGGAATGTATCGGTCATAACATGATGACCACATACCCCCAAACAACAGACCAATCAGGGCGCATCATAGAGATCCAGCTTTCCCATAAGAAYATTGAGTTGTACAAAGATGAGCAGTGTTGAGCTTAATGTTATGRGGCTAAATGTAGGGGGTTTCCATAAAACAATTAGACTACAAAATTCTGAACAAAACAGATTTAGAAATTCCCCGTAGACTGTTGAACAAAGAAAACCTTGGAGGTTATGAACAATTCTTTGAAGACAGGTTTGTAAAAAAAGTGCCGAGTACCTGAAGTCAGCTCCAAGTGAGGCAGCGATGGCATTTAGTTCACTCTGCATTTTACTGAGTTTCTTCCCCACGCAGATCACAACACCAGTCAGAGGGCCAGCTTCTGTTTGTGGAACCTTGAAGATAAAAAAAACCACGACGGCTCAGATTAACAGACAGTCTGTGTGTGCCCAGAGCGAGGTCCTACATGAAACGAAACATTTTAAACGCCATGAGCGTGATGTCACTTTTTAAAAAACACATAAATGACAGATGCTGTTAGCTGACCTCCTCCTCAGTTTTCTTCTTGAGCTGGGGGCTCGCCGAGGCTGCTTCCACTTCAGAGAGGTTACTGCGTGAGCTGTTGGCCAGAGCCACCTTCAGGTTCCTGTTAATGACATCAGTAAGCGGCGTCTCCACCCTCTCTCCTGGCTTTGATATCCCACCTGGAGTTTCCAAAGCTCCAAGTGCATCCTTCAACGAGACGTATGTTGAATAATCAAACGTTATAGAAACAAGAATGTATAAATGCATTGACTCTGTTGCTTTTCTCTGAATTCTGACCTTAATGTTAAAAGAGGGCCTGAAGAGCTGATCTCTGCTCAGGAAACGAGAAGGAGTATCCAGCTGCAGAGGAGGATCCTTCTGGAGGGGCCTCCTCCTGCCATCCTCTCGGTTTAGTTTGGGGGTGCCCAGGTCTTCTTTGGGCTTCATCTCGTTCAGCACGGAGCGAAACGCTTTGCTCTGAAAGCGACCTAAATCCAGCGGGGTGACAGCTTTACCGCTCTGAGGACCCAGCAGAGGGACCTCCGGAGACAGAGGAGGCAGAGCTGGTTTCTGCGAACCGCCGATGAAGCTCTCTTCATCCCTCTCTATGGAACATGAAAATGTGACGATGAGAGACTTGACCCTGAATCTACAGGAAAACGTTTTTTCAGAGATGGGTCTCCAACCTGGTGAATCTGGGAGGTCCACCAGATATTTCTCCTCCGACGCCCTCTTGCCTGTTCGAGCAGACTCCAGTATCCAGTGCATGGTRACCGCAGGAAACCCCCACTTCTTAGCCGCCTCGTACTTTGTGCCTTCAGGAGTTCGCAACACCAAGTGAGTGCTGGCCAGCATGCCTTTCTTCTGGTTCGCCAGACGCACMAAGTAATCCTGGACACTGCAGCAGGACGCGGGGAAAGATAAATCAGGAAAAGGTAGTTAATACGTAGCATGACAATTTTTAAAGGGATCCCTGATTAGTTGTAACATTAGGCTTTATTTAATAAACTTATATTTTAACTGTAAAATAAAGACTGTGAAAAT